ATTAAATGTCTTTGAGGGCAACAGAAGGCTGTCCATGGTAATGCTTTCCTTGTTCCATTTTTATCTGCCAAAATCTGATCTTAAATCAAATTTCTAAATATATTTTGCTGTCTGATTCAGTATTATGATTTGGTCTTTATCTGGTATTTATATTTATCATCTTCTGTATTATATTTAATCTTTTATAATTTATCAACCATTCTAGCTTTTCCTCTTTGTTAATTACTGCCATGATTTCTAACCATAAATGCTGCACTCTGTGCGGGCATTGCTGGTCCTTATACTCCTAGATTAGTAATTCTTAATCTGTGTCCGAATTCTTCTTGTCTGCTGTGTAATGATCTATTTGTGCTGAGGTAATCCTATAATTTTGTTTTTTATATCTAGACTAGCTTAAGTTTTATTTTTTCCCAATATTTCATGGGCTGTTCTCCTAAATATTCTGTTGTTTCCAGCAAGTCTTATTATCTCATCTAAATCATTTCAGGTTCTCTGTATATTGGATTTTTCTTTTTTTTCCGATTTTTGAAAAATTTAATTCAATTCAGCTGGTTAAATCTCTAAATCTTCTATATCCAATCTTCTTCATCGAATACAATTCTTCTAAATCATAATTTATGTATCTAATTCGTCTAAAGAAGTATTGGTACTCATTAGGTATTATTTTTGGGCTAGGTCGAGAATAATATATTCTATCTTGGATAAAAAACTAGCTAGGAACGAATCTACTCTATGGTAACAACTTTTTGCGCTACGGTCAAGAGGAAATTGGCTATGTGTAAAAAGCTGGAAGAACTACTCATGGTCACAGCTCAGCTCTGATGAGCGAGTGCTAGGGCTAGCGTGGGTAGAGTGCTTAAAACTATGTTGTGTTTGGCGAGTAACATGTCAAACCTTGTAAGCTAAGGATGAAATTAAGTCCTAAGATGAAAGGGATGATTCTGTCGGTATTTTTCCAATCCAAACTGAGGTAAAGGAAACCCATTCTACTATTGATCTTAGAACCCTAGATATGAAACTAATATTGTGCTCTCCATTGATGCAATGTGTGTATATCTGTTTAGTGCCGTCTGCTATACTTGACTAGACTGGGTTGTTAAAGTGTGCTCCACCTGGGGAACTACTTGTTGCTTCAATATCATGATTTCTAGCTCCGTATCTATCATGGCATACTATGACAAGGTTGCTGCACTGATTACCAGAATCTCAATCTAAGTCGAGATTTCTTGTGTACTCAGTTTGCAGCCAAAACGCCTTAAGCATAGATGCCATGATAGATACAGGAGCTAGCAATCATATATTGAGCATACAAAGTAGTTACCCTCAGGATGGGCGACTTTAACACGCAGCCCTTAGTCAGTATAGCACGGCACTAAACAGATATACACACATTGCATCATGGAGCCAAATTAGTTTTCAATCATTAGGCTTTCTCAAGATCAGCATGTTAGACGTGGTTCCCCTTTACCGATCAGGTTTGGATTGGAAATACCGACAGATCCCTTTTTCATATTAGGACTTATTTCCATTCTCACTTACAAGGTGGCATGTTACTCAGCCAAACACATTAGTTTCTTCTTCACCAGCGGACTATCATACCCAAACGGCTTATGCCCTTAGACATCGGCCCTTCTCAGAGCTGGTGCGAAGCGTGGTGGTATATAGGAGTATTCGTTCCAGCTAGTTTTTTTTAGTTCCCAAGTAGAAAATATTTTCCGACCTAGCCCAAAATACAATAGGAGTAGATTCCGTTCAGCTAGTTTTTTTTCCAAGTAGAAATATTATCCCGACTAGCGCAAAAATATATACCTATGAGATAGAAAAGCGTCTTTTAGACATTAGATACAGAAATTATGATTTAGAAAGAAAGAATTTGATTTTGAAAATAAGGAAGATTATTGGAACCTAGAAGATTTTAAACAACCAGCTAATTTAGAATTAATTTTTGCAAAAATAGGAAAAATAAAGAAAAAACCAATATACAGGAGAACCGAAAATGATTTAGATGAGATAATAAGATTAGCTGAAACAAAAGAAATTTTAGGAGAACGGCCTATGAAATATTGGGAAAGAAATAAAATTTTAGCTAGTCTAGATATAAAAAATAAAGATTATAGGATTACCTCAGCACAAATAGATCATACACCAGCAGACATAGAAGAATTTAGAACACAGATTAAGGAATTACTAGATGTAGGAGTAATTAGACCCAGCAATAGCCCGCATAGGAGTGCAGCATTTATGGTTAGAAATCATGCAGAGATAAAAAGAGGAAAAGCTAGAATGGTGATAAATTATAAAAGATTAAATGATAATACAGAAGATGATAAATATAATATACCAGATAAAGACCAACTCATAAATAGAATACAGACATCAAAGATATTTAGCAAATTTGATTGTAAGTCAGGATTTTGGCAGATTAAAATGGAAAAGGAAAGCATACCATGGACAGCTTTCTGTTGCCCTCAAGGACATTATGGGTGGCTAGTTATGCTCTTTGGATTAAAAAATGCACCTTCCATATTCCAGTGCAAAATGGATAGTATATTTAATAAATATAGTTTTATACTGGTATATATAGATGACATATTAGTGTTCAGTCCAGATAAAAGTAGTCACATAGATCATTTGTGTATAACATTAGAAGCATTCATAAATAATGGAATAATAATCAGTAAGAAAAAGATGGTATTAAATAAACCTTACATAGAATTTTTAGGAATGGAGCTAGGAGATGGAAAAATTAGGTTACAACCTCATATAGTCAAGAAAATTTTAGACTATCTAGATAAATTAGAAGATACAAAACAACTTCAATCTTTTTTAGGAATTTTAAATTATGCACGAATGTATATTCCTAATCTTAGTAAAATAATAGGACCCCTTTATAGTAAGACCACACCTACTGGACAAAAATATTTCAATCAGCAGGATATAGCTCTAGTTAGAAAAATAAAAGACATTTGTAAAAACCTACCAGACCTACAACTTCCCTTAGAATCAGAATACATACTTGTAGAAACAGACGCAAGTCAATTAGGATGGGGAACAATATTATTAGCTAAACCCAGTAAATATGACAGTAAAAATAAAGAACGCATTTGTAGATATAGTTCTGGCAAATTTAAAGAAAAAGATACAACTATGACCAGCCTAGATTTTGAAATACTAGGAGTAGTATACGCAATAAATAAATTTAGATTATTTTTGCACATACCTTTTACAATAAGGACAGATTGTGAAGCTATAGTTAGATTTCATAATAAACTAAACGAGCGTAAATTAAGTACTAGAAGATGGGCAAAATTTTTAGATTGTATAGTAGGACAGGGATATAAAGTAGAATTTAAGCATATTAAAGGAAGCGATAATAAACTAACGGACTGGTTAAGTAGAAAAATTTATTTAGAAAAAGAAGATAACCAGTTTAATTTTTGTGCAGATAATGGAGAACAGCAAGACCATGAACTTTGGGGGATTTTCTCTTCCCATTCATGAAGGCAGAACCAAGTTCAGACCCTTAACAGGAATTGAGCTAGACCCAGTTCAGCAGTGTCTTTTAGATAACCTTTGGACCAGCCAAAACCACCCGGCTAAACGCCTTTCAGCCCTACACTCTCTCAGCATATATTTTTCAAAAATCCAAAACAAGCCCTTATCTAAAAGTTTTTCTTTCTATGTAGTAGCTAAAGGAACCAAGCCCGGTATTTACCATGATTGGATAGAGGTAGAACCTTTAGTTAAAAAATTTCCCACGCCTCAGTTTAAAGGATTTTATGATTTTGAGTCAGCCAGTACGTATGCCCGAAGACAAATAGGAACCAGTTACTTTATTAGCCAGATAGCTAAAGATTACCTAGACACATTGAGCAAGATGAGATCTACCATCTTTGCTACCAGTGGCGTTCCAGTTAGCCAGACAAGTGGAAGCAGTAGTACAAGCAGCAGTAGTTCTAATCTTCAGATAGATTCCCAGAATCCGCTCCAAATGTGCAGACATTGTGAAGGCCTTTCCAGAAATTTCAAGAAAATTATGGATAAAGGCAAGAAGGTTAGTGAAGAGCTAGACCAGCTCCGAGACGAAGAAAAACAATTGAGAGCAACCATTAGAACCTTAACCAACCAGCTTAAAAAATTAGCTCCAGAAAGAACACCTACCTCCTTACCTAGCCCAGAAATCAAACAACTCACCAGTGAGGAATTTGACCAATTGAGTGCTACAATGTATTTCTTTAGGCATTCTATCATTCGATCCCTTTGTGAGAAAAGCCAAGTAATGGAAGACCTAAAACCCTATATTTATACCTTAGCTGGAGATAGCAGAAACGACGAGTTAGTCATTATTCAGCAGTTTCTTCAAGACCTCTCCATAGCAAGAGTTGACTGCCCCGGCCTAGCTTACCAATGGACCTATACCTATGAAGATGAAGAGCAACCCTGCCTAGACGAAGAAAGATGCAATAAGAGGTCAGAACATTTTGGTAGATGTCAGTGTAACCTAGACTTCAGCATTTGCCTTTGCCAGATAAATTTAGCTACATTCGAGCCGCTGGAGATAGAAATTAGGGGCGAAACTCGTTATCTAACAGCTCCAAAATTGTTAGATTACGGCTTTGTCTCTAGACTAATTTTCACAGATCCAGATCAGACAGATAACTTCGGACACAAGCTTGCTCATGCAGTACTGTGCGTAATGGAAGAACATCACCCGTATGTGGAAGCTTTAATAGATAGCAAACTACCAGAATGGAAGGAAATATGGTGCAATCCAGCTAAACACAAAATGTACCTCAGAGGAACCTCCACATTTCCGGGATACCCAGGACTTCTCAATAGGAGACCCTGGCCATGCAGAAGATTTTCACTCAAAGACCAGCTCAATAAATGGAGAAAATTTGCTAGAAACTCTCTCCTAGCCTATAATGGAAATTATGGACATCTAGTCTGTGAAGATAGACATCAAAAGATACATTGTAATTTAGCCATCCCAAGATATCCATTCAGCAAAGAGACATTTATCGATGAAAGTCAGTACCCAAACTACCAGCATGGCGTCTCTCATGAATCACCAGTGATGGGAGAAAATGATCAAGAATGGAACGATGAACCACCCATGGGAGATGGGGATGACTTTTACGACCAACTCTCAGTAGCAGATCTTGACGACTTAGCAGACCGAATGTATGGGTAGTTTCAAAAAAAAAAATAAAAAAAATAAGGGGTCCCACACTACAAGACTCATATAATCTTGTAATATTTCTACGTGACTCTTCCAATCTTGCATAACATTCAAGAATCCGCCTACAAACATCACTCCATGGGTCAGCATCAATAATTGGCTCTCCGTCAGAAGAAGACAAAAACCATAGAAGATAGAGATTTTCCTCAGATATCAGAAAAAATGCACGCCAAGAAAAGACAAAAAAGATTTTTGTAGATATTTTGTGAGTCTGTCAGTAATAAAGATTTTCCTTCAATCACTACTTTAATAAAGTAGATATCTCTTATCCTACTTTATTAAAGAAAAGCTGTGAAAATCTTTATACGTGTCTTGTAATAAATTATAGTGTCAAAATTTTGTCAAAAAATGAGAATTAAATGATATGCGATGGGGCCCAAAGCAGTACCCGATATCATTATCCTAATCATCGCGAATCGTAAGATGCTGATAACAGAGCATATAAATAATATATAATACATATTATAAGATAATATATATATACATCTTAATAAAAAATAAAAAAAAACACAAAAAAATAAAATAAAATAAATTTTTATTTAATCTAGCTAAAAATAATTAAAATATTAAAGTTATGTTTAATATTGCTATTACTTAGTAAATAATTGAAAATGACAAAATAGTCGTTTGAGCATTTATTTTTCTCCATAATATCCCAAACTAACATTGGATAGCAAAAAATAGTCCAATTCAGACATCTAACCCATAACTAAACAAACATAGGATACAAATTTAGTCCAACTAAATAGTCCTGGGACAATGTATCCCAGAACTAATAGTCCGATGGATTACAATCCCCCCTTACCTAGTCCGTCCAAACAAACGTTAATTATTGTCTTAACACAACAACCTCCATTAGAATTTCCTATTCAGTCTGACACATCTAGTGATAATGAGATTAATCATCTAGCACAACAATTTCAACCTTTTCATCTTAATAAAATCACCTATTCTAAAGCCACAAAAGTTAACCCTACCACTCTCACAAAAAATTGGTATACTAAACCTACACCTCCTGATCTCCAATTTGAAGAAACAAATATTAGTAATCAATTTTTTGTTTCGGCTAAAAAATTATATGAATGAAATATTGATGGTCTTAGTGAACACCAAATATTCCTAAAACTTAATCATTTGTCTATGGTCTCTAATAGTTGTCTTAATAATTATCCTAATTATACTCAATCAGAAATTGTCCTCTTAATTACTACTGGATTTATTGGCACCCTCAATGCTTGGTGTGATAAATATCTCACTTCTGATCAACGAGAATCCATCCAATATGCTGTTCAAATGAATGATGAAGGTTTTCCCATTTTTACATTAAGTTTACGTGATCCTCACATATTGAAAGCTTTAATATTGAATATTCAACTATTTGGAGAATTTATTAATATGTTAGAAAGTGTACATAACATTGCTTTAATTTACAGAATCTATTATAAATGTATTAAAACGAATTTAAATGTTCAAGCTTTAACCAAAAGTCTAAAGGATAAAACTTTATTAATTCAAGGTAGTACCACTGCAACTAATATTACTGTTCCAAAAATGATTCAATGGAAAGATATCAATCTTCTTGATGATTGGGTTACTGTCAATGAAAATTATTCCCAAAATGAACAATCTTCTGATAGTCAAGATATTCAACATATTCAACAATTTACTGATGGATCTGTCCATATTAGATTTAATAGAACTTACAGTCAATCTACTAGACATAATATATCTAGTTTACCTACAGAGACTGATGAAGATGAGATTTTTAATACCTCGTTATTCATTAGAAAAGACAGAAAACTTCACCTTAATGAATCCACTTCCCAATCGCATCATAATAAAATGAAAGGAATAGATAATTCATCTACCTCTCAAATTAGTAAACCCGTTTATTCTACCCACACACATCTTCAAGAAGAAGATACTGTTTCTCAAGATTTACCTACTCAAATAGATTTCGAAGTTGTTCCTCCTATTAATCCACAGTTATTAACTCTTAGTAAATCTTTTACTCCAGATCTTAATAGGCTTCATACTGAATTTAAATCTAATGCAAATAAGTTGAAATGGCAAAATTACAGAAATACTTATGATATAACACAACAATCTAAAATTATCAAAATCTGGTATAAATTTATAACAGAACATAATATTGAAATTAAATTCTTTGATTATGTAGAAACTTACTACCAAAACATAAATGTAATTACAAAAATCATATGGAAAACTTCTTCCAATACTATTGTCTCCGCTAGTCATCCTCCTTTAGAGAAAATACTTATTGAACATAAAGGCACTGTTGTCCCAGCTTCTCCATTCAAACTCCCTGGTGATGAATCCTCTGAAGTTAAAAAAGTAATTGAACAAAATAATTATACAAATCAATGTTTAAAAACTATTGGCAAACAACTTGATAAGATTGAAACTTCTTTTGACGAATATTCAGCTAGTTATACTTCTGTTAGTAAACCTTTAGATAAACCTCTTATTAATCTTCATAGTAATAGAAAACAATTAAGTTTAACTACTCAGGACCATACCACTGTTGATGCTATTGAAAAAATATTTAATCAATTATCTACCTCCACTAGTAAAGACACATCTATCTCTAACACTAAGGGAATTACTGTCTTAACACAACAACCTCCATTAGAATTTCCTATTCAGTTTGACACATCTAGTGATAATGAGATTAATCATCTAGCACAACAATTTCAACCTTTTCATCTTAATAAAATCACCTATTCTAAAGCTACAAAAGTTAACCCTACCACTCTCACCAAAAATTGGTATTCTAAACCTACACCTCCTGATCTCCAATTTGAAGAAACAAATATTAGTAATCAATTTTTTGTTTCAGCTAAAAAATTATATGAATGGAATATTGATGGTCTTAGTGAACACCAAATACTCCTAAAACTCAATCATTTGTCTATGATCTCTAATAGCTATCTTAATAATTATCCTGGTTATACTCAACCAGAAATCGTCCTCTTAATTACTACTGGATTTACTAGTACCCTCAAAGCTTGGTGGGATAAATATCTCACTTCTAATCAACGAGAATCCATCCAATATGCTGTTCAAATGAATGATGAAGGTTTTCCCATTTTTGATGAAGAAATAGGTTCCACTATACCTAATGGCATTAATATATTAATATATACCATAGTCAAACATTTTATTGAAACACTTACTAATATTCATTCTCGTATTCATGATCAATTAAGTAATTTAACATGTCTTACTTTAAGTGATTTTCGATGGTATAAAGATGTTTTTACTTCTAGAGTAATGCTTAGAGATGATTGTACTAAGTCATTTTGAAAAGAAAAATTTATTAATGGATTACCCAGCCTTTTGCCTATAAAATTAGAGATGTTCTTAGTCAACTCTCTGGGATTATTGAATATGGCAACTTAACCTATGGTGATATTATTAGCACTATTCAAAAAGAAGGCTTAAAAATGTATCTTGATTTAAAACTTAGTCAAAAAGCTGCTAAAGATAAACACAAAGCCAAATATGAATTAGGAAATTTTTGTGAACAATATTGTTTACCTCCCGTCGCTCCTTCACGAAGAAAACTTAGTAAAAATCATAATAAAAAAACTTCCTACAAATATTCCCATAAGGGAAAAAAGGAATATTACCCTTCTAAATCAATAGATAAATATTGTACTAACCCCAAAAAGAAATATTCTAAAAAATCTAAAAAAATGGTCAAAACCCACTCCTGATGTTACTTGTTACAACTGTGGTAAAAAGGGTCATTATTCTAATAAATGTAAGGTTAAAGACAAACTTAAAACTAAACTTAATCAATTACAAATTACTAAGGAAAATCAACAACAAATATTTGTTATATTTAAATTAAATATTTCTCCGAATCAATCCCCTACCCAATCTAATACGTCATCTGACAATGATATTGCCTCTACTAGCACTTCTACTTATTATTCTCCTACTGATAGTACAGATAATGATATTGAATTAGGATGTAATGATACTTGTTGTAAAACAATTAATGTCCTATGTAAATCTAAACAAGAAAAAACTGCTCTCATTGAATTAATTGCTAAATTAGAAAACCCTGACTTAAAAAGGCAATATACTAATAAATTAAAATCCTTTTTAACAAATAAAGATAAAAAGCCTAAACATGATAAACCAATTTGTTAGGTTTTTATTCTTGACAACCTCATTTGACAAAACTCCTTTAAGTTGTATTTGTTTTCGCACTTTTTTATTTCAGTGAGGCTATGAGTGTTTAGATGCGAATCCAACCCGAATTGTGCCTTGTAGAGAAGTTTCGTGATGTTAATTCTTTTAAGATTGCCACTTCGCTGATTATGACGGGGATCGAACTGCCCGGTCAGCTCGCGGGGGTCGAAGGGGCAGCGCCACGGCGAGGTCGAGGGGCAGCACCCCCGAAGCAAAATGCAAAAATGCATTCCAAGTTACCGGTCCGCTCGAGCGGACATTACCCCGCTCGAGTGGAGAATGCTGAGTTCCATAAGTTTATTCGCCTGCAAAAATACTGGATGTTGTTTTTTCCCGCTCGAGCGGAACTTTCCGCGCTCGAGCGTAGGTTCACTCGAGCGGCCAATCTGACGCTCGAGCAGAGATCGCGAGACAGTTTTCTATAAATACGTGTTTCAGTCCAAATCTAGGATAACTTCTCCAGATCTTCTTCTTGGGTTCTAGGGATTATATCTGGGGATATTTTGCTAGTTTTCTTTGATGTTTTGATTGAGTATTCAACTCATGGTTTAAAGAGTGCTTGTTCTACACAAAAGAGAGAGTTGTTCTTCGGTGGATTTTGAAGAATTCGAGCCTGAAGCTTTGGTGGATTCCGGAGTGGCTCATCGTCAAGACAATTCCGAGGTGAAGACGGAGTTGGAAGAGGTACATAGAGGTTGGTTCAATTTGAGCGTGGATTCGCTAGGTAATTGAGGGTATACCTGTGTAATTCCCTTATATCTTCATAGTGGATTGTTTTGTGGCTGTTGCTCGTGGTTTTTTTTATCACAATTAGAGGTGTCCAATTGTGGTTTTTTCACGTAATATCGTTGTGTCGATTTGTCTTGATTGTTTGATTGAGATTGTTATATACTGCTTAAAATTGATACATAATCACAAATCAACATCTAGGGGATTTCTAGATTTTTCACAATTATTAGTTTAAACAAAACTTTGGATCGGTTCAAAAAAGAAAAACATAAAGAAGTTACTTTACAAGACTTACAAAATGAGATTAATCAAATCAAATTCACCATCCAAAAATTAAAAACTAAAGATAAAGCTTTGGAAAACGAAATTGCCATATTAAAGAGCCTTGATGATTTTCAACAATCAAATAAATCTGGTTCTAAACATGAGGATGGATCTGAAACTGATCCTGATAAAGTCCTCTTTGATAATCGAACCACTACACACAATAGTGATCAAGATAGTAAACGTTTAAATATAATTCATCAGATTAATATTTAAAAATGGCATTCAAAAATCAAATTAGTTATTAATGATTTTGAAAAAGAAGTTATTGCATTAATCGATACTGGTGCAGATTTAAATTGTATTCAAGAAGGATTAATTCCAACCAAATATTACCACAAAACTACTGAACAATTAAGTTCTGCCAATGGAAGTCAAATGCATATCAAATATAAATTACCCAAAGTACATATTTGTCAAGATAATGTTTGTTTTAAAACATCATTTGTTTTAGTTAGAAATTTAACTGATAAAGTTATTTTAGGTACGCCTTTTATTTTTCTATTATATCCCTTTACTACAACTAATCAAGGAATCACTACATAAGCTTTTGGTTATACAGTTACTTTTAAATTTTTGTCACCTCCTGAGGTCAAAGAATTACATCAACTAAAAGATTGTTTTATTTCTCAAACAATCAATCGATTAACTAAACACCTTAAATTTCTTAAAGAAGAAGTAAACTATAAGAGAATTGAAACTCAATTAATTGATCCTCTTCTAATTTCTAAAATTGACCATTTTAAAACTCAATTAGAAAATACTGTTTGTTCTTCCTTACCCAGTGCTTTTTGGCATAGGAAAAAACATGTAGTTACACTCCCATATATTAAAAATTTTAATAAAAAACAGATACCTACTAAATCTAGACCTATTCAAATGAACCATGAGTTAGTCGAAATGTGCAAACAAGAAATTAATGAACTATTAAACAATAAAATTATCAGTCATAGTAAGTCACCTTAGCCTTGCCCTGCTTTTTATGTCAACAAAAATGCTGAACTAGAAAGAGGAGTCCCTCGTCTTGTCATTAATTATAAACCATTAAATAAAGTTTTAGAACGGATTCGTTATCCCATCCCTAATAAAAAAAGATTTAATTAAACAACTTAGTCAAGCCGTCATTTTTAGTAAATTTGGTTTAAAAAGTGAATTTTGGCAAATCCAAATTCATCCTAATGATCGTTATAGAACTGCTTTTACTACTCATTTTAGCCATTACGAATGGAATGTTATGCCCTTTGGATTAAAAAAATGCTCTTAGTGAATTTCAAAATATTATGAATGAAATTTTCAATCATTTTAGTCATTTTTCTATTGTCTACATAGATGATATCCTTATTTTCTCAAAGTCTATATCTGAACATTAAAAACATCTTAATGCTTTTTTCCACCTCATTAAATACAATGGTCTAGTTATCTCTGCCCCTAAGATTAAACTTTTCCAAACTAAAGTCCGCTTCTTAGGGTATGATATTTACCACGGTACAATTCTTCCCATTAGTCAGTCTATTGAATTTGCCTCTAAATTTCCTGATGAAATCTTAGATAAAAATCAGTTACAACGCTTTTTAGGTTCCTTAAACTATATTGCTGAATTCTATAAAGACCTTCGCAAAACTTGTCAACCCCTCTTTGATCGGTTAAAAGATAATCCTCCTCCTTGGTCTTCTCTCCATACTTCTTGTACGGGGAGCAAATATTCAGGCAAGCCCGTATTCCTTTCTTCCAAGCTCCGTTTCTGTCCGATCACCTGCGAGCAAATAACGGTGAGCTACCCGGCGGTGTGTGGCCGGAAAAACCCTCCGACGATCAAGTTAGCACACACTTTAGGATAGAGAGAGAGAGAGGGAGGAGTGTTTGAATGTAAGAATTTCCTTACAATGTGTTCATCTGTCGCGTATGGGGGGCGCAGACATGCTTATATACCCTCTGTGCCCCATATCTACTCCCAGTCATCTCTTGACACGTGGCTCCGCTTATCCCATCTGTCAGCATAGACCTTGCTGAACATCACCTAATCTCAACTGCTCGCCATCACAGCTGGAGCTCGGCAGCCGAGCTGCTCTATGCGTTGCTGCGCCGTGCCGTGCTTCATACCCAAGCACTTCACTGGCAAAGAGCAAGGAGGACCGGGCTAGGCGGCATCTCGGCAAAGCCTAGCCCGAAGCACCCCCTGTGGTCGGCTTTCCTGCCGGTCAAACGGTAACCTCGGCTGACCGCGCCTTTCCGGGAGCCGGTCACTCGGCTTGTCTGGCTTCGGCTATCCTCGGACTGAGCATCCCGGTCCGACCGAGCACTGCTTTGCCAAGCCGCTTCTTTACGATCTGGGGCGGGACGCACTCGGCCCAAGTTCTGCCCGGCCCAAGTTCTGGCAGCCCATCTCTGGGCGAATAGTCGATCATCTCGGCCCCATGCGCTGCTGGGCTCTCAACCTGCTCGGTCGCTACCTCGGCCCAACTCCAGATCATAAATCACCCTCTCACTTCTATAGTTCAACAAGTCAAAAAATATGTCAAGACTTTGCCTTGTCCTGGTATTCCTGCCGAACAATCCTTCAAAATTATTCAAACTGATGCTTCTGATATTGGTTATGGTGGTATCCTGCTTCAGAAACTCACCCCCCAGTCATCTAAACAAATTGTTCGTTTCCATTCTGGTGTCTAGAATAAAGCACAGAAAAATTATACTACTATTAAACAAAAAATTTTATCTACTATTTTATGTATTAGTAAATTTCAAGATGATATCTTAAATCAAAAATTTTTATTTCGTGTTGATTGCAAATCTGCTAAATATGTTTTAGAAAAAGATGTTCAAAATATTGTTAGTAAGCAAATTTTTGCCTGTTGGCAATCTGTTTTAAGTATTTTTGATTTTGATATTGAATGTATACCTGGTAGTCAAAATTTTATTCCTGACTTTCTTACCTGAGAATTTTTACAAGGGGGATAGAGGATGGCAACTCCTTTTATTTCCTACCATAAATTACATGTCACCCATTACAGATTACTCATTCACCAAACTACTCACCATATTGCTTGCCTCAAATTAGCCAAAAAATCCACTAAACGTGCTCAATTTATTCATTTTCATACAATTCATAGTCTCCGTCATTCACTTGCTCACTACATTAACTATGCTGATTATCATTTAAGTAAACTAGATATCCTCAGTGGATGCTAATTCCAGTCTACCTATTTTATTCACAAATGTCTGCCCAGAGACCCTTGAGACCTTCTAACAAGGCTCTTGTTCCTTCTAATCAACCAGTTCCTCCTTTGGAATTAGTCACCAGATACCATCCTGCTCAATTAGTCAACCGTTACCAAGTCCTTGGTAATATTCCTAAACCTAGTTATACATCTGCACTTGCTACT